GCACATTTGAAAATGTGTCCATGGTTGGAGTGAAGTACAGAAATGGTATCGATTCTGTACCTATCAACAGTTCAGTGAAAATTATTCATGTGCAAGGTAATCCCTTAGCATTTATATATAATTAACCGCGCGGGGGGGGGGGGTGTCAGACCTAAAATCAGTAAAAACTATAAAAAGAAATGCATTAACTTCTATGGGAATAAGCTCATAAGCAGCAAAATTACCAAAAACAGAAGATGTCATGTAAAATATCTAAGCGATTTACCTTTGGGAACCACAGTGGCATGGTATCTTATTTTCCTCCAATGGAAATTTGTAATTGTACGTCAATTCTTCGCCAGCATATATACGCCTCTTTGCGTAAATGAAAATCTTCTTCTGGCCCTCAACAGTAATTATTTTTGTATAACAATTCGGCTGGCAAGGAAATAACGAGACTGCTATTCAGCATGTTACAGAAACCATAGTTGAATGTTTATTGTTAAGCAGTTTACCTCACACGAATGGTTGATAAATCTTGCTAAACCGCCACGCTTTGTAGCATCAACCTGTGTAAATTAAGAAAAAATGGAGGCAATGAACAGAGTTGCGCAAGGTGCAGTCACAAAAACTGGCAAAGATTAAACATGATTTCAATCAAAGGTTTGAGACTACCAAGCATCACAAGGACCCCAACCCATTAAAAGATCACATTTATGCTTTACATTATTATATTGTCACATAGCTCCATCATTTTCTGTACTGCTTCAACATTATCCAATTCTTCTATTGTCTAAGAAGCAAATATCAGAAATAAAGACACGTATGCAGCACACCATTTTAGATAAAGGCAGATAAGAATAATCTTCTACACCTACCACATAATCATCATCCAAGCGAAAAAGGTAACTGCTTCCAATTCCACTCTTCTCATATTGAGCCTCACGTATGTCTGAGACCTGTATGGTACAGATATATCAATAAGCTTCTTAAAAACTACTCCCTCCGTACACTTTTATAAGACCTTTTAGACATTTAAGACAGCACCTAAAACAGTTCAATTTCAGCTGTCTTAAACGACTTACAAAAGTGAACAGAGGGAGTACTACATTGATGAAGGGATTGTTGATTCAAGATAACAAAATTACCGGCCGGCGAATCAGTTCACCAACATATTCAATAACGAAATCTTCTGCATCAATTGACTCAAGGGCCACCAGACCCCATTCATGAATCTTGCTCCTTTGAAAACGTAACCGCTTCTTCCTTGCCTATATGCCAAAGGTAAGAGTCAGTGGTCATTCAAACTGTCATGGCAAGAGAAACTTGTGTACATGCAATGATTTATTTTACCTTCGATTGGGTAATTTTCAGTAGCTCGGTGCCTTCAGAAGCAGCTAACAGGTTTCGTAACTTAACGCGGTTTGTTCGCGCAGATGTACCTTTAACTTGTGGGTTTTTCCACACATTATTAGCTGAAGTTGAAAGAATACTCCGAACGCGGTACCCTCTCACACGAGTCCTTTCTGATGGAGTGGCGGTGCGTGCCCAATTACGCCACTCCCACCCATTGGAGGAAGCTCTTGCACAACCATCTGACTCTGGACACAAAATCAATGGTTTTGCCTTCTGACTGGAGTCAGTAGACATGTTCTTATTCTTTCTTTTCTTTGCAAGCTTTGTGGGCACACTAACGTTCTCAAAAGGAACCTCGTTATCAACCAGAGGCATCCTAGTAAGATGAGAAGTCCTTTGTCCTAGAAAAGAAAGATGATGCATGTGATAAATCTATGCAAATTTACAGGGGATGAAGCAAACAAGACTAAAATGCTTACTCTTTGGCACATCATTGGAAAGCCGCTTCAAGTCCTGTTCGATATTCAAAGGGCTTACAACATTATCAGGAGTTTTGGTACGACTCTTGGAGATCTTTGGCACATCACTGGAAAGCCGCTCCAAGCCTTGTTCAATATTCAAAGGGTTTACAGCATTATCAAGAGTTTTGGTACGACTCTTGGAGGCCTTTGGCACACCATTAGAAAGCCGCTTCAAGCCTTGTTTGATATTCAAAGGGTTTACAGCATTATCAAGAGTTTTGGTACGACTCTTGGAGGCCTTTGGCACATCATTGGGAAGCCGCTTCAAGCCTTGTTCAATGTTCAAAGGGTTTACAGCATTATCAAGAGTTTTGGTACGACTCATGGAGGTCTTTGGCACATCATTGGAAAGCCGCTTCAAGCCTTGTTCGATATTCAAAGTGTTTACAACATTATCAAGAGTTTTGGTACGACTCTTGGAGGACTTTTTCGACTTCCCGGCCTTCCTTGGTTCCTGGACATTTTTAAGATGAACCTTGCGCTCAACAAGCTCACGTAGAGGCTTGGAAAGCTGCTCATCCGTTGGAGTTCTCACTGCTTTTTTGGATGACACTGCTTCACAGCTGTTCCTTAACTTTCTCTTTCTGTAGTACGCATATTCTTTATTAGGTCTCAATGATTCGTCGATGTTTTTAGGCACAACAGTCTGCTTGGTATACCATGAATCAAGGCACTCACTGATAGTATCTGACAGGAGAGATGCCCACTCTTCTATAACATTCTTATGCAGTGTCTGCCTGCAGATAGCCACGGTAATGTATCTAGAAATTCCGGGCATAGAGTTGGTTGGTTTTGAAGGTCGGTATTTGTTTTTGTCCATGACCAGCACAGAAGCTGAGCCAGTCTCCATACCAGGAGGCACCTCATCAAAACTCTCATCCAATTCAGCTGCCTCGGATACATCCAGCTTTTCAAATATACTAGCATAAGATGAAGAAGGGGATTGATGCTCCACTGCATGCAAATTAAAGGGGTTAAAATAATGTAACCAAGCTCAGGTAAGACAAAATGCAATAGAAGAATGGTCGTTTACCATGAGAAGTGAGCATTTTATCTGTTGCCACATCAGATACAGATGATGTTGCGCCTGCCACCATGTCAGCAGGAATGGGTACAGTATCAGTAGCTATTTCAGCTGTAACCAACACTTCATCTACAGCCATTTCAGCCGGACTGGTTATTGCATCTAGAACCATTTCAGCCGGACTGGTTATTGCATCTAGAGCCATTTCAGCCGGACTGGTTATTGCATCTAGAGCCATTTCAGCCGGACTGGTTATTGCATCTGTAGTCATTTTAGCAATATCCAATAATTTATCTTGAGCCATTTCAGAAGGAATGGGGGGTGTTTCATGAATGTCCATTCCAGCAGAACTAGGCGAGTCCGGTGCATGAACAGGAGTACGAATTAGTTCCTGCAATACACATGTCCAACATGAATCATGTAAATTTCAAAATCTCAGTAGTCATAAGAGAAATTATTTATCATTGTTATCTCACTTGATCAGTGATGTCTTCAAGTCCAAAGCCCAACCAGTTTGTTATCTCCTCTGCAATAACCTTCCTGAAATGGTGAAACAAAGTTTCCTTTGCTGCCACGTATAGTTCATTTGCCAGCATTACCTGGACTCCTGATGAGGGATCAAAATATATGGTGGAACTTGATTCACGCCACCAACTATTTTTGCCATCGCAAGAACCAATATCTAACAACGGCGGAGAGACAGGGCTTGCACACTCCAATGTTGGCCCAAATCCAGGTGGGAAATCCATGTCGCACTCGATAGCTTCTGAATCACATATTACCTGCAAAGACATGGAAGTATAAGAACCCGTTATATATGACGAAAGAAAGGATATGAACGACATATTGCCCCCCTCCAAGAAATAGATACACTTGGTGTCAGAGACAAAACCTTCAATCCGTCAGCTTCTTGCTTGTTTCCATTATCAGACCCACCAGGAATACTCGTACAAGGAAGACTTGAATGGTGATTTCTCTTAATCCATGCACCACAGTAGTCCATAACAGGATCATACAGTATCCCATCCCAGATATTCTTCATGGATTCGTAATAAAGAGTTTGCCAAACTGCTGATAATATATCAGCAAATTTGGCATGCACCGCAGTTGACTGAACAGCCACGGGAGAAGTTGCTCGTACTGTATTATATGAGTTTCCTTTTTTGTGATCAGTAAATTTTGCATGAGCCTTGCCCTTTAATGCTGAAGCCTTCTTGCTGTCAGGCTGCCAATGTCAAAACCATGAGGGGGAGATTATGAAAAACTAAAGAAGGACCATACAAAGAGGTGCTCTTATTAGAAAAACTTTGTGCCAAATAATACACACCTTAACAGCTAGGAGTTTCGATTTTGCAGCTAGTTGCTTCTCAGTCTTCCTACAGGCGATAATTTCTGGAAGCACACAGCTGAAAATTTCATCAACAAAAATCTTGCGGGCTGATTTCACTATACCGGCATGGAGCTGATGACTAATATCATCGACTATGTCACCCATCACGTCACTGGCTGACCCAGAATCATTCTCTGAAGCTTCTGAATGCTCGGTGTGACCTCCACTCCACCAATCAATTAATGAGACAAGTGTAAATGGACCAAATTTGCTATCAACATGGTAAACCTACAATAAAAACGGACTTCATTCAGATTGCAGACTAATAATGAGATAAAGAAAATAGTTCACAGCTACACGCAAGATGTGTAAGTATGGTATTATAAAAAGGATCTAGTAGCACTAGCACAGCACGTCAACTTTTTTGTTTAACTTGATTCATGGGAGAACAACAAAAACTTACAGATAGAAGTTGCATTGACGTTTAGTGAATTTAACCATTTGTACACAGAAAATAGCTTGTGCTATCAATTTGTTATTCAACCTCACTGAGTTACCCAGTATTTTGCACTTGACAAGGCGAGAAGAGAAATGTAAATGAAATAATTTACCAAACGGTTTACAAGTGGTGCTAATCTAACACATAGGTGCAAGGACACTCAAGCCAATAATGCAACGAATTTCAAGAGGTCTTCACAAAACCAGCAGCATAAATAGTGTATGTACCAGACTAATATTCTTGAGCTTTGGCTAGTTATGACCAGATATGTAATTGCCTTCTAATAATTGCAGACCTGCCATTATGTAACTTTAATGGAAACATTGCAGTAAGCCAGTAACAGGGTAACAAGAATGAATTGTTGCTCGAATGGATAAAGCATATACCAACATAACTCAAGAGGATGGGATTTACAAGACATGATTTTGATTACTGAATATTTTTTACCATAGAAAGATCCTGGAGATAGCTGCTATGAAGCCAATAAGAAAGTTCAGCAAGAGAATGTGGCCCATGACGGCTACCATCGCTGTCCTCGAACATCCAGCATGACTCATCGCTTGAGAGAGCCTAGTGAGAGAACAGAAGCTAAACAAATCAGGGAGGTAGACAAGCGGCTGGCCGGTGTGCAGAAACATAGGTAAAAAGTGCTCGGCATACATCTGGAAGCGCCATTTTATCAGTACGAGCCACTGTCTTATTCTCCTTCGATTCATTTGGCGTGGTGACCGCGCCAGCAGAATTCCATTGTGAAAGGAACTGCTCTAGAGAACTCAAGGCTACAGGATTGAGCATTTGCCCACCAACAAGAGCATAAATAGCAAGATCTTGAGGCAAGAAACCACTGGATAGCCCCTCATAGAGCTGCTTGGGTGCGTAAGGCCCACACATCTGGCCATGCTCATTCACATACATACAGCCTTCAAAGGGCTGATGTTGCGGATATGCACCATATGTCCCATTTTGACCATTTGAATAGCCCATGCCAGACTGCGAATAGATCCCACCGCCGTTATTGACAGGACAAACATTCCCCTGCGTGGCAACAAACATGCCTGAGCTCTGTGGTTGGTCGCCGCTACAGGAAGCCATCTGACGCCTCTCCGAACACCTGGTCAATCAGAGCCAGCGATCAGCTCCAGCTTTAATTAAGTAAAAAAGGGAAGGAAATAACAATGTGACGAAACAAACAGAGAGGATCAACGGAAGGTTGTACCGGTCAAGCATGTTCACGCGTGCACCACTGCAAGCCGAGGCGGAACAATCAAGCGGTTCCCTGTCAGACCACTTTGTACGCTTTGTTCTGGGGAAAGAACTGGGGCTGCGGAAGCTCGACGACTCTGCCGGCGAATCATCCAAGCCCTGCTCACAAGGAAATTGCACAGGGGTCACACTAAGAACAGCATATTTCTCAAGTTCAGAACAAAAACCCGCCGCGGCGACCCTTCCGCTCAACACGAAATTCACCATTCTATGCAACAGAACTCGCAAATTTCAGGACGATCTCTAGGAATCGACCACCGGCACGTCTACGGGAGCAATCCCAAAAGCTCTCCCTACCCTCGCCTAGCTCACACGCTACCAGCGGGCGCTATCGCCATAAACGCCAAAACCACGCTGTAATCCACACCCCCCAAACGGCCGCGCACGGGCGAAAGAGACAAAATTCCGGGGGCCCAGTAGAGGCAGATCGCCGACGGCGAGACGAGGGGCCTCAAGCCCGCCTCGCGGCGGCGTCGACGCGCCCGGGCAGGTGAGGCGGATCTGACGACGGGAGAGAGAGCGGGAGCGAGAGCTCACCAGATCGGAGCGCGCGTGCGGCATGGCTGGCTCGCGGGGGATCGGGCGCCCTCCCGGAGTCGGATCTCCGCCGCGCCGCCGGCGGGTAGGGTTAGCGGTTGGGGGGTGGGAGGAGCGGAGGACCGGTCTGGCTTTGGGTTGGAGAGCGTGCCGGGCAAGAGGAGAGAGAAGACGGGGGGGAGCGTTTCGGACAGCTGGCCCGGCCAGTAATCATCATAATCGGAAGAACATTATTGATTTCCGAACTGGGCACTTCATGGAATTTCTGTCTACTACAATAAATTTGTGCTCCTCTTCCTTTCTTCTCCGAATCCGGCGGTGGTGGAAACGGCGGCGGCGGTAGGGATGAGAGTCGCCTCGACGACAAGTTAGATGTTAGGGTGGAGGGGTTCCGGAGCACGGGGAGTTTGGATAGAACGTCTGACCCGAGGATGGAGGCGGCGGTCGCAGGTAAGGCGAGAAAGACGAAGTTATTAGGGTCTTTTTTTGGGTGTTTGTATGAAGAGGGGCGGATCCGGGTCCATGGATGAAGATCTACGAGTTGGCGGTTAGGGCAAAAGGGCTTACCGGAGTCGGGGGAGTTTTAGCGAAAGCTCATGATCTGGGGGTGGAGGTCACCGGAGCCGTGGACGGTGAAGGTGGTGGGCGTGAGTAAGGTGGGAAGCGGTTGATTCGATGAGGAGGCTGCCGAAACGAAGGAGGAAGAAGGCGGCGGTTGTGGGTAAGGCGGGTAGGACGAAATTAGGGTTTTGATTTGGGGTATTTATATAAAGAGGGATGGATCTAGACCGTTGGGTGAAGATCTCCAAGTCTATACAATTCTAACTATTGGCCAATCAAACCCCTAAAAAATCCTAAATAATGCACCTCAACCCCAAAAGGGCAAAAACATAATTTTGGTATCTTCCTCTTTCGGCTTCATATCCGGTGCACTGGCGAGACAAGATTCACCTCGAGTTGAAGCTAGTAGTGAGGCAAAGATTAGGCGATGACGAGTTAGAGGTTATGATGGTGGTTTTCACAGAGTCAGGAGAGTTTTGAGAAAGTGATTAATCCGATGGTGGAAACAAAAATAGGGAGGATGAAGGTGGTTGTGGCGCGTAAGGCAAGAAGGGTGAAGTAAGGTTTTGAGTATGGGAGTGCCTATACATCAGGCACCTGAAAAATTCATCTGCGTCCGCTACTTCCGTTAGGGGCCGCTAGATTTTCATCCAACGGCCGAAGACATACCATGCACTGTTCATCTTCAACCTCGTCTTCTTCTTCCTTATGCAATCGCCTACCCACCCCACCTCAACCGCCTCCCTTCGCCTCCCACGGTCGGCGGGGGCTGCCACGTGCCACCCCGCCCTCCCTTCAATCTTCCCTACCGTTGTTGCTTTGAAGCCACCGTGACCATCTCTCTAAGACCCCCCTACCCCTACCAACTACATGAACTCTGGCACCCCCCCCTCCCGCCAGCACCTTTCCGGACTCGCTATCAGTGGTTCCTACTCGTGCACGGCTCGGCCTTGTCGTGGTCGACGTTCCTCACACCATCCGCGCAGACTGCACCTTTGGCCTCGCGCGGAACGGAAAATGATTGACGCTCAAAAGAATTTCAAGTTCCGGTTAGCAAACGCATTTGAGTACTTCTATCAAAGATGAATAAATCTTGCCCCTCTGACAAACATCGTAGAAAAATATATTTGTTCGCCAACTAAAAAACATATATTGCTTCGAAAAACTAACATCTTTGTTTTTCACAACTCTGACAACGTGATTGGTTCAAGGGAATTAGAGATGGGGAATGGGAGTTGAGGGGGTGAGGAGATTAAAAGTCCACTATTTGATTACAGGGAGTGGAAGTGGGAAGGGGAATGGGAGTTGAAGAAGCCAATTCTCACGGATTTCATTCCAGGGTATCCTGTTAATTTGCGAGCAGAGTTTTATCCCAGGCCAATTCTCATCATACACCAAACAAGGGAATGAGAGTAAAAATCTACTTCCTATACCTAATCCCTTCATAAACACCCTTGTGCAAACTCCCGTTCGGCTGTGATGGTTCTCCATCGACGCCATGAGCCACAAGATGGTCATCCCACGCTAAAACTATGCTATTCTGGGAGAAGGCAACGAGAAATTGATTTCAGGAGCAGACAAAAACAGAAAGCCGAGTTGAATTCCAGCATACACCAAGTACTTCACAAGCTGAGCAATGTAATAAATCCACAGAGCATTTGGGCAGGGCTTTGAAGACTTTCCCTAAAATACACTCACAGCTGATCACTGCTTTACAACTGCTGCTACTTCAGCGAGACACCTACTTGACTCATGAACAAGTCGACTCTTTAGCTAGAGATGCAGCAGGGGTAGGGTAGTGCAACTCTCTAGCAAAATCATGGCAACCGAAAGGGTGTTTTCGAATGCCTGAAATCGAACCATTTCCGGCGAAACCCGCGCCTCAGTCACTCTGCTCCAGTTCTTAGTTACTACTACTACAACATTACATTGCTGGTTCCATCTGCTCTGCTAGTACCACCCAAAACATCACAATGGGTTCAGAAGTCATCAGTGACAGTTTCACCTGAAGAAGTCTTGCCACTGCACTATCAGCCCTGAAGCTTTCTGCAGGAAAACCATGCAAGCCAAAAGGAGTTCCAGGCCAGGGTAAAAGCTTCAGAGCTCATGCATCAATGGTGAGGTGCTTCTTGTGACTGGACACCTTGGCCTGCAGCTTCTCCAGCTTGGCGCTGGCAGTCCTGTGCCGGTCGCTCATCTTCCCCTCCTCGGTGCTGCACATCTGCAGCTTCATCTTCAGGCTGAACATCCGCTGGACCCGCGCCGCCCAGCCGTCCTTCCCCGGGGCGCCACCGAACTTCCGGATGTCCTGCCGCATGCCGGAGCACTCCCTCTCCAGCTCCGCCAGCCGCAGCCGCATGCTGTCCATGCCGGCCCTGAGCGCCTGGTTCTCCCTCACCGCCGCCGACGTGACCCAGCGGGCACCGGCTTCGCCGGACGTCGCGATGGTGCCACTGCCGTGGAGGGGGCGTGAGGATCCTTCCAGGTTGTCGGAGACCATCAGGCACCCGGCGATGGATGTCCGCAGCTGGAGCTGCTCGAAGAAGAGGACCTGCACCACCACACGCAGCGGCAGGCGCTCGTTCTGCGCGGCGTGGGTGCATGCCTCCAGGGACAGCTTCTGGCAGTCGATCAGCCGGCAGAGATGCTCGCGCTCGGATTCCGGCAGACAAGAATGCGCCTGTCAGCATTGCAGAACAAGACTGAACAGCATCAGCAATGGTGAAGTTCAAATTTTCATAAGTGAAGTGGCAAATGTGTCTTCAATTCTCGGGCAAGAACTTAAACTGAAGATGTGATGATTACGAACACTAGTGTCACTGATTAAGAACAAGAGTGACGATGTGATGATTATGGAAAAAATAAACAGCATTAACAATGTGTGTGTGAAAATAAATGCAAATGCGTCTACATTTCTTAGCACAAAAACTTAAACATATGGATACTAGTCTCACCTTGCCTTTGGAGGAAGTATCAATTTTAGAAATTACAACACTAGGGGGCATGTTTGGTTGGCTTTAGAAGTTGGCTAGCAACCGAGCCTATGACAAGTTGGGTATGTGACTAAGCAAGTGTGACATGCCATAACTGTGGCTGCAACCAAACGCTTGCCACATTTTGCCACACTTGTGGCACGAAAGTGTGGATGGCAACCAAACATGCCCTGGTTCCTTTAAACAGGAGATGAAGAAACTGCATGTCAACTATTTTCAGATAAAAAACAGACTCAAAAGTTTACCTTCAAGTATACATCAATGGCGCGGTAAAGTCCATCGTCTAGAGGCCGGGCATATTCAGGCAAAGCAGTTGCAAGAGATTCAAATTTCGGTGGCTTCAGGTTGATATCTGGTGCAATCTCTGCAAGGTAGCCATCAATCAGCTTAGCGACAGCGGTGATCGGCGCCAGTGAAGGAGAACCCATCACATCATCCAAGCACGGGGAGCCACCACCCATGGTCTGGTCCATTGCCAAGAAGTGATCAAGGATCCTGCGCACACATTCGACATTGTAGAGTGTGTCCATTGTGTACGAGAAGTTAGGTAGCAGTAGATCCTCCAGTGTGGCTTCATCTAATTGCATGCCGACCCTTTTCTCCAAATTGGAAATGCAAGCACGGTTGACTTTCAGAATCATGGCAGTTCGAAGCAGCCAGAGCAAAACATTTGTGGATATCAGGCCTCTCTGAAGAGGCAGCATCCTGTCAATGTCCTCAAGCAAATGCCTCTGTTCCTCCTCAGATAGGGTAGCAGCAGCAGAAGTCAGGGGCACCGGTCCCATGCTTTGACGCCTATTCAGTCCTGGGAGACACTTCTTGGCATAGTATGTGAGCGAACCAGCGACAATCTCCTCCTTGGCACCTCTTGACTCCATAGTGGAGATAAGCCTCTTGTATGTAGGGAAGCTCAATGATGAAGCATCACCATACCACCAATCTGAGCTGAAGTTCCCGAGCTTTGCGCCCGTGCTAATACCATTCCACAATACACTGCCCCCGGGGCTATGCATCGCACCGTGCTCTGATACTGGCCAGCCAAAGAGGTCTGGATCTATGCTAGCCTTGGCGGCCAACGATTCGACGCACCTCTTCGCAATGTGAAGGTCTTCGGCATGAGGGAGAAGGACATCACATGTCTTGAGTGCTTCCAGGGAATCTTTCCAGCTGCGGAGAACTACTTGGTTAAAGAACATTTCTGCCTGGTGGATGAGGTTATCCTGAGCTATTTCTTCTGTCATCTCGAGATATTCAGCGGCGCATCGAAGGTGGACAATATTTGCTGGAGAGAGCTCTATCTTCAAACCATAACAGAACCTTGCCACTAACTCGAATGATTTTGCACCTCCAGGGATGTCGGATAGTTTGATGGTACATTCGTCTTGGTCTGAATTCTCCTCAATCAACCTTCCCAAGATGGCACTCTTTGAAAGCAGAGGGAACTGCAAGGAGATAAGGACCACTTAGAACAAAAGGACAGCCAGTAAATATCAACCTCACATATTGAAGGCAAATAGCGAGAGGAAGTAGTTTGTAAGTGCTCTTTCTTTCAACAGAATATCTTGCTTCTTATCATCACAATTTCTTGCTAAGCTACAACATCTTATCTTACTTCTTATCATCACAAATTTACAGTGGGCTGCCATACTATACTAGATTGAAAAGCAAATTACCTTGTGGAGGTGGAAAGACATCTCCCCAACCTGAACGACAACATCGCTGGGAAGCCCAGTTGTGCAGAACCTGCAAGGCCCACAAGAAGATGGTCATCAGTGAATCACTAACCACATATATTCTGGCTTGCAGAGTTTTAGTTAAGCAAGTGAGGTGATGGGTTAGAAAATAGTAGTGGTAGTGGAAAAGAACACCTTCCATGTTTAACTAGATGCTAAAGAGAGAACTGATAAGGCATTGTTTCATATCCTGACCATCTCTTTAAACAAACAGAATCTATAGACAGACCGGCATTGCTTCTACAGAAGCTATAAAAGAGCAAGAAGGTCAGACTTGCTATAGGCTATACTCTAAAATATTCACCCTGAAGTACTGGAAGGGGACACCTGCACTATCTGGCATTTCAGCCTCACCAAACCTTGGTGCTTCATGGAAGTGGTCCTGTACATGAAAGCGAAAGGGGGAAACAAAAACCCTAGCGGTTCAAGAAGCACAACAAGGACAGGAAGTAGTAGTAGCAATGTGGGTGCGGACCAGGCCAAATCACACAAATCGCCATGCCAGAAAATTGAGCAAGGAAGAAAGATCCTGGAGTTCATGTCATGTCATGTGCCCCCAAATCCCCATTTGAAACACATTCTATTTCTGCCTTTTTCTAATTTTCTGACTATGTATATTTAGTAAACTAGCAGCAGGGAGCCAGGAACAGGACAAGCGCCCCCAATTGTTTAATGCCAGCCACGAAGCTTCCAAATCGCACACATTACATGCATGGCAGCAGAAGTCTGAAAGAACTGAAGGAAATGGCAAACCGTGGCTGGTAAAAAAAAGGAAGGAGCAGAGCATGGAGCATACCACGCTTGGCCTCGCCTGGTGAAGGCGTCCGGCTTGGAGCCGAGCTTGACGGAACCCATGGATCCTTGGAGGGAGGAACGGATCTGACTCCCCTGCGTCCAAATCCGGGGAGCACGCACGCACGCACGAGCAGCACACCCCCAGGCCAGGTAACCGCCACTCCGCAGTTTTGCCTCTCCTTAATCAACGCCCCGGGCACGAGATGGAGCAAGAAAACGCCACCATTGCAATTGGCGAGGGAATGTGAAGGCGCAGAGGCTAGAGGTTTCTCAGGACTCCCGGGGCTCGAGCTCTAGCAATGGGGGGTGAGTAGCGGGAGCAAGGCGAAGGAGAAAGGAAGCAGCGGAGAGTCCAAGAAACAATGGGCCGGCGACTGCGGTGGGGGAGAAGGAGAAGAAGGCGAGAGAGACCGGGCGGCTGCAGCCGGGGACAAAGAAGGGGCGGAGAGGAGAGGGTGGCGACAAATGGTGCGGCTGGGGCGCATTGATGTGGGTTTGGAGACCTGGGGTGGGAACGAAGAGGGGAATGCTCCAGTCTCCAGAGAGAGAAGAGGTTGTTAATTTTTTTGTTGGAGATCTACTCTGCTCTACGCTAATCCAATCTGGGGCGTGGTGCGGTGCAGTGAGAACTGAGATCCTCCTGTTGATTTCGACAGAGTGGACCCGGTAGCGTCCGGCGTACTACTGCCGCTGCTAGTACTACAGTGCAGAGATCCATGACATTATCTTAGTGACATTAACAGTCTGCACACGGCGCTCGTTCACGTTGTTTGTGATCTACGGCAGTACAGATCCACGGCATTATCTTATAACACTCTTATTACAGCATTCATTCGTTCGCATTGTTCGTGTGGTCAAATTCGGCACATGGGCAACACCTCATCGTTATTCTTCTGCAAGAGGAGGCTAAATTTCGTGTTTTGACCCTTTTGACGTAGTTTATCAGGATCTGACCCTGGTATGTTTTTTTTAAATTTGACCCTTTTGCTACCGCTGCAGACCCTCGCGGTAGCTTTATACAGGCTACCGCCGCCCTCCCTATCGGTAGGTGCCTTGACGGCGTCTAGCCGTTAACAACCACTGACACGTGGCAAAGGGACATACCGTCGCCGACCCTGGCGGTAGGCTCTAAGAGCATCTCCAGCCGTTGCCCCCCACCCCAGGACGCCTAAAAATCGGCCCCTGGGGGCGAGCCGGCGATACATTCGGCACTGGGGCAGTTTTGCGCTCAGTCGTCGCCCCCAGCTCGGCCCCAGACGCCGACGTTGGCCCACTTTTCGGCGAATATAAAGCCCATATGGGCGGGAATAGGCCCATATTCGACGTCGTTCGCCGTGGCTCGACGTTCAATTATCAACATAAATATTTTTTATCATATATTTCATCACAGAAAAATCAAATACTTCAACAAATAGTTCAATGCAAATTATATAGTTCAACAAATAAAAACTCATATTTCATCACATGTCGCGCCCGGCGTCGCCCTTGAGCCTCCATAGGTGCTCTATCAGATCTTGCTGCAGTTGATGATGCACATGTGGGTCTCGGATCTCCTGACGCATACTGAGGTAGGCAGTCCAGGTTGCTGGTAGCTGGTGATCAACTTGGGCAAGAGGACCCTGCCTGTGGTATGATTCAGTGTCAAACACTGGCTCTTCCTGCTCGCTCTCAATGATCATGTTGTGCAAGATGACACAGCAGGTCATGATCTCCCACATTTGATCTTTCGACCAGGTCTGAGCGGGGTACCGGACAACAGCTGGGCGAGGGCGGCGAGCACCATGAGATGCTCTTCTTCTTGGACGTCGGCCTCGGCTTCCTCCTCCAGCAGCGCGGCGAGCGCTTCCTCGTCATCCGAGTCCATCGCCGAGGCAGGCAAATCGCCGAACACCTTGCGTCCGGTGGGCATGCACCCACCGCTAAACTGCCCCTCCACGGCCGAAAACGCCCAGCTGCTGTCGGAGGGGCTGCCGCGGGGAACCTCTGCTATTTTTCCGGCGTGGAATGGCTATCTACCGGTGAAGGGCGGCGGGCGGCGCTGGGATATAGCTAGTGGCGGCCGAGAGCGCAGGGGGTGGTGTAAAGGCATATTTATCCCCAAGGTGTTTTGGTGATTGATGACAATGCTTTTGCGGACTAATCGTGTGCGTTGAGCTTTTCAGAGATTCATCCTTTGGCACGACACGATTTCCTCCCCCCTGTGTTTTATTCAAGACGGTGTAGCTCCTTCGTTTCTCTGTTGGTGGACTAGTTTCGTAGGAGTCACCGTACTATCAAGAGGGGATCCGCTTTGGTAAGGCTAGGGTGGAATCAACATGTACACATCCTTATCACACCCAATGTACCTTTCCGCTTCATTGGAGCTTCCTTTCCCCTCCTTGCCTGCCTTGACATGTCCCAGCGGTAGTACCGCGGTCCTCAGCGATAGTACCATCGAAGCACGTCAAGCGGTAGTACCGCTCCCCGAGCGGTAGTACCGCTTGCTGTCTTCGGCCGTAGTACCGTAGTGGTTCCGGGCTACTACCGCCTCGACTCGAGACCTCGGTTTTTCGTGTCGGGTTTTACGGTACTAGTAACGACAGTAGTGGCGGTAGTACCGCTCCAAGCGGTAGTACCGCCCGTACTTCCGCGGTAGTACCGCTCTGGGCCCAGGACCCTGCAACCCTCGTGAACGCGGCAGTACCGCTGGGAGGGAACGGTAGTACCGCTTGTTCAGCGGTAGTACCGCCCTGCCCAACCGGTAGTACCGCTCTGTGCGTGGCTGCTTGGGGGGGGTAACGGTTGGATTGTTTCCCCCACTATATAAATGTGTCTTCTTCCCCAAAGTTAACTGATCTCTTCCCCCAAAAGCTCCATTGTTGCTCCAAGCTCCATTTTCACCCGATCTCTCTCCCTAGCCAATCAAACTTGTTGATTTGCTCGGGATTGGTTGAGAAGGGCCCGATCTACACTTCCACCAAGAGAAATTTGATTCCCCCCACTAATCCCTAGCGGATCTTGTTACTCTTGGGTGTTTGAGCACCCTAGACGGTTGAGGTCACCTCGGAGCCATAGTACATTGTGGTGAAGCTTCGTGGTGTCGTTGGGAGCCTCCAATTAAGTTGTGGAGATTGCCCCAACCTTGTTTGTAAAGGTTCGGTTGCCACCTTCAAGGGCACCAATAGTGGATTCACGACATCTCGCATTATGTGAGGGCGTGAGGATAATACGGTGGCCCTAGTGGCTTCTTGGGGAGCATTGTGCCTCCACACCGCTCTAACGGAGACATACTTCCCCTTAAAAGGAAGGAACTTCGATAACACATCCTCGTCTCCACTGGCTCCACTCTTGGTTATTTCGTGCCTTTACTTTTGCAAGCTTACTTGTGTTGCATCCCTTGCTTGCTTGTGTGCTAGTTGTTATTGCATCATATAGGTTGCTCACATAGTTGCATATCTAGACAACCTATTTTGTTGCAAAGTTTAAATTGGTAAAGAAAAGCTTAAAAATTGTTAGTTGCCTATTCACCCCCCCTCTAGTCAACTATATCGATCCTTTCAATTGGTATCAGAGCCTCATCTCTTTATTAAGGACTTTACCGTTCGAAGAGTATGGTTAAAACCACAGACGGTGTGGAGGAGCACTCCGGTGTGAATCCTAACTCGTCTACGGCCGATGGGGGTACCTCGGTCTCTCATGAGGAATTCAATGTGGCTCTAGACACATTGAAAAACTCCATGACGACCAAGATTGAAAGCATGTTTACTAAATTTCTAGAAGGACTTAAACTGTCTACCTCACCGATGAAAGTGGGTGATCCCACTGACAAGGTGACGGATGCTACCTCCAAAAAGGGGGAAGCTAACAGTGAAAAGGGTCCTTCTACTGGTGGTAGAAATGGCACCGACATCTTTGCCCATGTGTAACCTCCAACTTATGGTGGACCGATTCCCTCTACTCATTTAAATCATGTCGGTCCTCCTCCTAAGATTGTGAAAAATGAGGATTTTGATTCTTGGGTGTACCGCTTCAAGCGTCATTTAAAGCATGTGAATACTAATCTTTGGAGAATCATTGAAGAAGGTTTCTATCCACATGACCCAAGCAACTTCACCCCTCGAGAAGCCGTGGATAATCAATTCAATGAGAATGCTCTCTTCATCATCCAAGAGGCAATTCTCCCCGAAGATCTCCCTCATCTTCGATCCTACGCCACGGCCAAAGACGCGTGGCATTGCGTTGTGTCTCTCTATCAAGGAAGTGCAAGCATTCAACGCTCCAACTATGAAGTGGTGCAAGATGAAGCCGATGGGTTTGCTATGAAGGAAGATGAAGAACCTCGTGAGCTCTTTCGGAGAGTAACCAAACTTGCGGTCTCGCTCCGAGATCATGGGAGCAAGGACACGGATGACAATTGGATCAAACGCAAGTTCCTCAAGGCCATGATGCCCTACAACAAGGCCATGTCCTCCGTCATTCGTCAAAGACCGGACTTCCACTCCATGACCTCAAGTGAAGTGTTGGATGAGTTCGTTGCAATGAGCATCTTGGACAAGACCGCCGATAACACGGTGCTCCGGTCTCAAAGGGCAAAGAAGCCCAACCTTGCCTTGAAG